TTCAGGTTTCAGAACAGGGCCGAAATAAGCACATTGAAGATCTTCCTAAGCTTGTACTGCATTTACCTTAGTCTTTTTGTCGCTTAGGACTATAGGTCTAATTTCTCTTCCCTCCTCTAGCCTGGGTTTATAGGTAAACCTCCATAAAAGTAAAGCCTTCAGAAGGGTGGCTTGAAACTTAAGCCCAGTCCTTTACGCATGCAAAGTCAAGGATTATGCATAGCACTATGGGATGTTGGCATTTAATGCTAGAACGTTCGCCGATGATTAAATATCACCCCAACTAATGAAGAAGTGAATATCATACAAATTATAGAACAACTCAGCAAGGAAACCAACTCTCGCCTAAAACAGTGGTAATATAAATAATACAGTAAATAGCTCTTGAGTAAGTTTATTTCTAAAGCTTTTCTAAACCCAGGTATACTGTTCGTAGCTTCTAGGGTAGCCTGATGCCATACTCGCCAACTCGTACGTTCATCAAAAAGAGGGGCATTCAGCTGCCCAGTGGGGCCGGCATAATTCTAGAAACCCCCACGAAGCGCTAGATAGTCGTGGAAACTCTATGTTTAGCGGGAACTCACTGGAATATGTCGTCACTGCCTGCCCACCTACTGGGTCCTGCCTGGAGCTCTTCCCATCGTCCTTGGGCAGCGTTCAGAGGTGAGGTGAGAAGGTGGGCGGGAACTGCTGATCACCAAACAAATTCCATCCCTTCACTACAACCACTTCGACTTCATCACCTAAACCTTTCCCTTCCCTCAAACACATACGTTCGCGTTTCCCATCGTAACAGATTCGACTGTTACATATTTCACAAAGTCAACCATCATCTCACTATCAATCATGAGCACTCTTAGACCGTTGCGCGGCGGCTGTCAATGCGGTCGAAACCGTTACATAATTGCTGTTCCTCAAAATGGCATCAATGAGGCACAGGTTCTCTTCAACACCGAGCCTGCACATCGTAAGTTGGAGATTTCCCTCAGAGACACACCCTCGAGCTTCGAGCATATGATCTGACAGCCGCCTACAGAGATACCTCTTGCAACTCCACTGGCCGCCTACATCCGAGTTCCCCTTTCATGGTATCACAGCACCACATACTCTTTCTTCCCCGATGAGACTCACGCCTTGATTCGACGAGTTTATACACACCCTAGCCAACAATACTCAAAACGTCACTTTTGCGGCTACTGTGGCACGCCCCTGTCCTACTGGTCCGAAAACCCGCATACCGAGGCCGAATTCATCAACCTTACGCTCGGAAGCTTGCTGAGGGAGGACCTGCGAGATCTCGAAGACATGGGACTGATTCCAGAAGAGGAAGATGACAAAGCCCGAGCGGACCAGTCATCGGGAGTGGTGGGTAGGAACACTGCATTGCGCCAGTCGTATGGAGTTCCCTGGTTTGATGGCATGGTTGAAGGTACACGCCTAGGTAACATGCGCCGAAGCCAAGGCGTCAAACAATCTCATGATGGCCGAGTCAAGGTCGAGTGGGAAATTGTCGAATATTCCAACGGCGACGAATCGACGGCCCCGACAGAAGAAGATAACGATGTGGAGATGTCAAACCCCGGAAAGCGAAAGCTACAGGACAGGGACGACTCGGAGGCAGGTGCTGCTGGGAACTAGGAAGCACTGCTGACTGAATTGGGCTCAGTTGTGTCTGTTGTAATATTGAGGAAGCTGACGACTGATGGGATAACGATGAGGGGCTCTTGCTAAAATTCTGACGATGAGAGGCTGTTTTGTTGATAAGTGCATATTCGCGGCGATTTCAACAACCACATGGCCCTTGAATGACATGTTGACTCAATCTCGGTCGCCATATTACATAGTTTGTGAAAAGATTGTCATGCTTTCTGAACCTGCGTTATCATGTGAATATCTGAGCCATCATCCTTGTATGCTGATGAATTAGGAGAAGCCACTAGTTTGAAAAAATTAAACGATAAGCAGATATGCATGGATATATGGTGAAGGCGAAAAGACGAAATCCGTCATTGAGGTGCGTGGAGAGTCCGGAGATCTGGACCGTTCCGTTAGTACCTCTGGTGTTTCGGGCCTAGCAGCCATGACAGCCTGGGAAATTCGGGGCAATGCAGCCTGGACCGTTTGACAGAGTGGGAACAGGAACCGGGAGAGAGCGACAGGGGGCCTGCAAACTAGAGAAGCAATGAGGATCACAGTTACAGTACAGCATCCGAAACACAATGCAGCCTAAACAATGGGAAACAGTGGTGGGAGGACCCTTGAATCTCGAGGCCGAGACACCACGTGCAGAACATAAGATCTCGGGAATCAACAAATTCCTCCTGCATTTGATTCATCCGGTGAGGCGAAGTTGCAGCGGTCATTCCAGAGCGTGCCGAAGTTCTGGCGATAGCGGGCTGTCGTGGCGCCGGAGAGGCGGGCCGAAGGCTCGAGCAGGCACATATGAGCGGGAATCGTCTGACGAAAACGGAGGTCCAGGTTGGACAAAAAGAGTTAAGTGTCCAAGGGATCTGTTATTTTGCCAGACTTCTTGTTGAGAATTGGGCAATTGCGAGTTTCCGGAAAATTACAATGAGATGAAGAAAAAGGAGAAGAAGAGGAGGGAAAAAAGAGGAGTTAAGGATGAAGGAAACAATAAGATAATCTGGAAGGGTCCTGAAACCAATCCCCATGGGGCAACCGCATTGGCTGGGGTTGCCTTTTACCTTTTAAGAGGGTGCCAGGTAGAAGGAGACATCCATCAGCAAGCTGCAGGCGTAGACAGGCATTGCCCTGAGCAATGGATCCCTGGCAGTTGCCGTGCGTGATAAACCCACCAATTCGACTGAGGAAGGTACCCTACCTTGGCGTTCGTGTCTTTTCGTGTCGTGAAAGAACAGCTTTTGTCAACCCCACCCCAGCTTTTGTGGCAGATGATCCAGCCGCGGATATGACGGTCCGAAGTACAAACACGGCCATTGAGAGGCATATCCCTTCCTTCTCTACCTATTCATCAGTTTCACCGTGCATTGTAGCTGACACGAGAGAAGAGAGTCTAAGCTATGAGTGGAACGAAAAGCGACAACCCATGTTCTAGGTTGGGGTATATAAGAGCGTCTTGTGATGCTAGAGAAACATGATCTTCTCCTCCTCTTCTGCATCCAACATCTTCCTCTTCCACTCACCTGTAAACTTCGACTCTTGTTGCTTCTGTTTCAGCTGGCCTGATAACTAGCTCTGTTGAACAACGACTCCGACCAGTCCAAACTTGAAGAGCTGATAGCCAGCCTGATTCACAATGTCTCTCCCCAAGGACTTCCAATGGGGCTTTGCCACCGCCTCGTAAGTTATCTAACTCCCAGTACTACCAGGTGACGGTAATTGACCATCAAGATAGGTATCAGATTGAAGGTGCTATCGACAAGGACGGTCGTGGCCCTGCTAATTGGGATACCTTCTGCGCTAAGCCTGGCAAGATCGCAGACGGCAGTTCTGGTGTGACCGCCTGTGATTCATACAACCGTACTGCTGAGGATATTGCTCTTCTCAAATCAGTAGGCGCCAAGGCATACCGATTCTCCCTCTGCTGGTCTCGAATTATCCCTCTCGGTGGTCGAAACGATCCCATCAACCAGGCTGGAATTGACCATTATCGCAAGTTTGTCGATGACCTCCTCGAAGCTGGAATTACCCCTTTCATTACTCTTTTCCATTGGGATGTACCTGATGAGCTGGACCGCCGCTACGGCGGTCTCCTGAATCGGGAGGAGTTTCCTCTTGACTACGAGCGCTATGCTCGTGTTGTTTTCGAGTCTATCCCTCGCTGTAAGAACTGGATCACTCACAATGAGCCATGGTGCTCAGCCATTCTTGGTTACAGCACAGGATCTAACGCACCCGGTCGCTGCTCTGACCGCAAGAAATCCGACGTTGGCGACTCTTCTACCGAGCCTTGGATTGTTGGTCACAACCTTCTTGTTGCCCACGGTCGTGCTGTCAAGATTTATCGTGAGGAATTCAAGCCCAAGAATGGTGGTGAGATTGGTATTACCCTCAACGGTGACGCTACATACCCGTGGAACCCCAAGGACCCCAGAGATGTTGAGGCTGCCGAACGCAAGATTGAGTTTGCTATCTCGTGGTTCGCTGACCCTATCTACTTCGGAGACTACCCAGCCTCAATGCGCGCCCAGCTCGGTGACCGCCTTCCCACCTTTACCCCTGAGGAAAAGGCTCTTGTTTTGGGATCCAATGACTTCTACGGTATGAACCACTACACTGCCAACTACGTTAAGCATCGCGAGGGAGAAGCTGCCCCTGAAGACTACGTTGGTAATCTTGAGCTGCACTTCTGGAACCACCGAGGTGACTGCATTGGCGAGGAGACCCAGTCTACCTGGTTGCGGCCATGTGCCCTAGGTTTCCGTGATCTACTTGTCTGGATTTCCAAGCGTTATGGCTTCCCCAGAATCTATGTCACCGAGAACGGCACCAGCATCAAGGGCGAGAATGACATGCCACGAGAGAAGATCCTGCAAGATGACTTCCGCGTCAGGTACTATGACGACTACGTGAGAGCCATGGCCGATGCTTCTAGACTCGATGGTGTGGACGTCCATGGCTACTTTGCCTGGTCTTTGCTGGACAACTTTGAGTGGGCTGAGGGTTACGAGACTCGATTCGGCGTAACTTATGTCGACTACGAGAATGACCAAAAGCGTTACCCCAAGAAGAGCGCTCAACATTTAAAGCCCTTATTTGATAGTCTCATCAAGCAGGAGGAGCACGCTGTAAATGGAAATGGTGTGAAGGCCGGACAGACCTGAGAATGATCGAATTGAAGAAGATCATGATGAGTATACGGTTTCTTGAGTATGATACTCCGATAAATATATTGCAATTGAATTTGAAAATCAAAGATGAATTCTTGTAATGAGAAGGGCGACTTTATTCCCTTCACGATGGGTATATCCTTCATTAGAGCAAGTTTATTCTCTTTACGCCTTGTTGTACTCTTATTAGAGTTATTCGGCACATACACTTTGAAATAACCTTTAAAAATAAGGTTTTTTAGACCTAGATGTTTACTTAGGGTCTTATTATATATTATCTTGATCCATTACTTCCAGGACAGTCATGGGGCAGTCGAAATCGATTTCTCTGACGCCGCGTAAGAAGCCCTGGAACATGTCTCCTGTAGCTTTGGCCAACTATGCACCGGTTTAGACACGTGTGAGATTGCCTACAAACCTCGCTGCCCTTTTTGTTCCACGCCCTCATCAATGACCTGCCTTGGAATGTCATCAGGTTGCATCTGTACGTCGATAGAACATTGTTCTTGGGAAGTACCCTGCTCTGCTTCCTCGCTGACATGCTCCTTGTTTCCTCTCCGCATGTAGTAGCGAAAGACATATACCAGCCCTTGAGCCATAAACACCTGTTCGATGGTGTACAGCAGCACCGGTATCTGTATATAGGCTCGTGTTAGATCATCCGCACGCGCCCACATTGAACTTGCTAGCGGTATGCCCAAACTCGTTGTTTTGGCCGCTCCGCAAAAGCATACGGCGATCGTCTGCTCTTTAGACATGCGCCTGAAGACATGCCTCAGCCAGGATGAAGACACTGTTCTGACGAAGCGCCCAGGTGGTCTGGCGAGAAAGAAGCAGATAACTGTGAATAGAGCATATAACGCAACGTTCATAAAGACAAGGAAGAGGACGTTGCTTGTAGATAAGTCTTTCAACGCCCCGGTACCAAAGGCTCCAGAGAAGGTCGTCCATACGAGCAGAACGAGACACAGTGTTGAGACCTTGGCCAATTTGAGAGCATTGAGAACTGTGACTGTGCGATCCTCCCACCTCCACCGTATAGCTTGACCAACAACAAGGGGCAAGACGACACTAAGACATAGCTGCTTGGCTACGTCGGCATACATATGTCCTAGAGTGGACGGGTCAGCAGGGCGCCAGCTGTCGAATGCTTCAGGATGGCCAGTTGGAAAGAAGCCGTAGATGAGGAGGGGAGATAGAAACGATCCAGCAACGTTGCCGATGACGACAGAGATAATGGCGGCGGCTTCGTCTCCGCCTGAAGCCCGTGTCATTACAACATTGGAGGCAATAGTAGTTGGAAGACAGGCAGTGGTAAGAAGACCGATGAGGATTGGAGGTGAAGGTGTTTGTGACCTGAGAGCTCCAGCTGCGATAGAGATATGAACAATGGCTAGAATCATGAGTTCGTGATATAATCCGCCATGGCAGAGAAACAACTTACCAAGCACAATAGCCGGAATAACGGCAAAACTAATCCCATGAACCAGAATATGTAATCTCCAGTTTGTCACATTCTCCCGAAGCTTCTGTGGTGATAATTGCAGCCCGCTAACGAGAAAGATGAATGCGACAGCGCCGTAGAGGATGCTATACTCTGAACGAATGACACCCCCATGCTGAGCGATAGCTGTGAACGGGGTGTTAGCACTCGTGTTGGAGAGAGAGAGAGAGAACCGTAACTTGCATGGGAAAAAATATCCAAAAACACAAGCAGTAGCGAACCCAATAACCAAATATTGTGCCAGTATGAGATTGAGCGCTTTCTTAAACCAGCCAATAGCTCCTTTTGGAGGTTTCTGCCTTTCCTCAATCGACATTCTCCAGTCTCAAAGGCGTTTTCGCCATTTTGGTACTTTGAAAGATCAGGTGTGAGAGCAACTACGGTGCCGACGGTCGGAGTTATATGTCAAATGTTGCTTCTTGTAATCGACATGGGGAGTAATGGTATCATTCGTCGAAGCGGTTATGGCCTTGGGCATGGTAGCTTGGCAGGGACAAAGACCGCCCGCGTTATTACCGACATCATGAAATGGTCAAGAGGGCGGACTTTGAATTGTCCTTGGAGGGCGGGCAGAAACGGATATCCGAGGTTATTGCAACATCATCAACTAATAAAACAAGTAGGAAGTAATCGGGGGCTACATAACATTAGACAGATATATCATATCAAACTACATGATGATACAATTACGCAAATTAAAATAACTGTCTCCAAAGCAGACAACGCTCTCATCTTCATCTCCAGAGCTAGTCATGACAATCGAGAGGTACTGGATCTGATCCAGGTTTGTCTGCGGCATGCACCATCGCCTCAACTTTTCTACCCATCATCTCTCCAAGATGATCATGAAAATATTCGAGCCAGTCCTTCTCAGAAACGAGTAGGTGGCTTCTTGTGTAAGACAAACAAATCCGAAAAAACGCCGCGCGATGTGTAGTGGTATCAAGATGGGTAAAAGGGAATAACATCTCGCAAGTCTGAGGGTATAGACAGGCTTGGTGTAACTCGTTAAGAGACGTCCTGTTCATCAAAGGAGCTGTCTCGTTCGTCGTCAGGGAATTAAAGAAAGTAAGTTGAAATGTAATTGACGAAGTGTCAATCTGTCAATCGGTCGAAGAAAGGTGTCACAAAGTGACAATTTATCTGTTTAAACAACAGCAGATGTAGGCTCCAAAGGTAAGGCTGTCCTGGAATCATTGGGGTTCGTAGTGCTGGGAGCTGGTGCAATCTCTGGATCGGGAATCTGAATATCGAGCTGTCAAAAACGTTAGTAACTGCCCTATTATGATGAAAACTGTGGCTTTACCGTCATGTAGCCTGTTTGTCGCAGAGGCAAAATCTTAGGTGGAATAGCACCATCTTCAGAACCAATCGTTTTTTCCATCTCAAGATTCCATTGCTCGATCCACTTCTCGAGATTATTCAATCGAGACTTGATGCCAGTGAGACCAACGTCATCCCAAACCCAACCGGTGACCAGTCCAAGGAGACTATCAATTATGTTTCGCAAGCCGTAAGGGTCAAACGCAGTAATCAATTCACCATTAAGTTTCTCGATAATCCGGCGGAATTCTTGCTCGGATAGACCAGCAGGATCCAGGATCTCAGGATATAGGTTGGAAAATGTCGGTGCCAAATCACCCTTGATCAACCAATCGCGACGTATTCGGATAATACGCGTGTTGACATATTCAGATGAGCCGACGGGAACATGAGGATTAAGGTGAGGATAGCAAGGATGCTGAGGACCCCATTCACCAGCTGCATCAGGCTCAACATCTTCACCCATAATAGAAGAATTCGTCGTCGACAGAGCAGATCCTATTCCATCGCCAGCCGAGACGTTAGAAATCCGCGGGTCCATGATGTCAGGACCACGCTCCAGATCCTTGCCATAAGACGGCATAGGATCGTCGGTCTCTGGCATCATCACAGCCTTCCCTTTGCCCTTGTCAATCTTGACGATTGGATCTTCCACCACAGTCTCCTGAGCAAACAGGTCCCTACTAAGACGTGGTTCTTCGGCGGACACTGCACCCCTCCGAGACCCTTTCTCGTCGTAAGAAGCGCGCACAGAATTCGGTAGGCTTATGCGCCGGTCACTACTGCCGGCCCTATCAACCTGAAGGCTTGCGCGAGGCGTCAAAGAATGCCTTATCTGACGTTGTTCGGAAAGCGTAAGAAGAGGATAATCGCTAGGCCCAGTACCTATGGGGTCGGGCAGCGCTCGGGTATCGAATGTCGGATGCTTGAGAGGAATGGACGGTGGTGGTGGAGTTGAAGGACGACGTTTACGCGACGATTCGGGTTTGGTATGAGGCCGAGGAGTCGAATTTGTAGGATTCCAGAGGCGGACAGCTGATAACCGACGAGGACGATTAGCAACTCCAGCAGCCTTCTGAGGTCGAAATGGCGAAGGGTGAAAGGCGGATGTTTGGTAACCGTCAAAGGGTCGAGCTGGCTGGCGCTGGCTATTTGAGGCAGCAGCAGCAACGGCGGCTTGACCAGAAGATGAGCCGGTTCCGGGATAGGCGGGCCTTGGGGGTTCGAGGCTCAGTATTAGAGGGTTGCCGGGGGCATCTACGGCGGCCGGTATGGGGTTGGAGGGAGATGGTCGGGAGAGTTGGGGATCCGTTGGAAACAGGTTGTCGGCACGGCCGCCTGGACGACCGCGCTCGCTAGAAATGGCGAGGTCCTTCTCACGCTGACGTGAGTGAGATCGATGTCGAGTTCGAGACCAAAGCCGTCGTCAGCTTGTTGGCTATGTCCTGGAGACTGAGGCTGGGCGCTAATTGCCTGTGCACGGAGCCGGTGTTGGCGGAAGACAAACGCAGAGACAGAGAACGAAGGAATGCGACAACTGTGAGATGCTGCTAGACTCAAATCGGTAGCGCCAAGAGTGAATGTTGGATTGAAGTCAGTGGCGTCTGTAGACTCGTCGTCGTGTACGGTGTCGGCCTCGATCTCGAGGTAATGGATTGTCGAGCGGCAGCGGGCAAGAGAATTGCTCGAGTCGTTGACAGGCAAAGGAGAAAGAGAGCAAGAAAAGAAGCAATGAAGGGACTGGACGTCAACCAGGGGAAATTCGCTGACGGTGGGCCAATGACAGCTGCAGAAGAAGGCTGGGGAGAGGCTGACAGGGGGTTTAGTGGATGATGGGCTGCTGAGTGCCCTGGAAGCCAGCATCCTCAGTGCTGAAATGCAGCCCAAGTGGAGGAGATCCCCTTACCTGACCTAGGCGAAAGTGAATTTGAGTTCTCTCAGCTCGCCTTGCTCGACATATGGATTTTTTTCAGTTCGGAGGAATTGAGTCTCATAAAATACTGCAGGAGACTTCTGCTAGACGTATAGTTTATCAGTAGGGCTGCCGAGCTTGCGACTAGTTGTCGTAACACTATTAGACGGTTGACCCTCTAAGTCGACGTTGCTCGTCGTACTTGAGCAAACCAGGAGAAGCCTGAAGGAGGGTAAAAGAAGGCTTTGCAACCCCCTTTGACTCTTATAACGTTGATTATGGTTCCTTTTTCTCTTTTCTCTCTTCCCTGGCCGGTGTCACCGGAAGGTCCAAGGGTTGGAATTCTTGGTCAACAGGCGGAGATTTGCGCTCGCTTGAGGCCTTAGATGAATTAGCTTCATATAGCGAACGGTAGTTGTGCCGTTAGCTTGCAACTGGGCTTTTCTTGAGTGATTCTGATGATGTCGATGAATGAGGCTCTGTTACTTTGCAACGGCGTCTCTAAATTTGACAAACAGTTACGGAACAAGACACGGGGGAAATCAGCTACTTTAATATAACCGAGTCTCATCTTTCGAAACCAAATCTACTTTAAAAGAGTACCTCGAGACATCTGGTCATGCAGAAAATAGGAGCCTAGACCTCTACAGTTTCTTTTCCCTTTCCTGTCTGGGCCATCTCTGACATCCAGTAAGTCGTTTAGGCATGTAGGGTGTGTGCTGATAGGTACCTGGCGCTCTGTTCTCGTCATCAAATCTCCATATCGAATCTTCAAAACCTGGAACCAGGGGCTTCCGAGCCTGTGGGCTCCAAACTAGTCTCCATCCCCTGAATTGGCCTTTTTTATTTTGTTTTTGACAGGCGACGGCTTCTTGACAGGGGGTTTCCGCAATCCCTTGGGTGACGCCATGCTGGGCTTCAATTTGTGCGGGCGTTGGGAATCCTGGTCTGGAGAATTGATGGGTGGCCTTGAGCTGAGTTCTGAAGCATCTTCTTAGTTCGTGGCTTATTGAATATTCATGCAATGCAAGTGATGGCCTCAACTGCGAGGGCGTTTTTTTGCTTTCTTCATCATCCTATACCTGCACATGCATAATCGTAAGAGCATTTGCATACCTTGGTAAGCATTCTTGCAGTTACTTGACTCAAAGAATATGTCATGCTCCTTCCACCTGAGAGAGCCCATGTCTCAAGTTGGGACGAACGTCTCGAACTTAGTTGCCCTTGCAAATTTTCAAGATCGTTACGACGGAAGAGAGATTTACTACCCTAGTCAGTCTCGCTTGCATGATATACTGGGTGTGGTCTATATGTAGAAGGTCGTTATTATTAAGATGTGCTGCACGTGAACCGTTGTGATGGAGTTGATCTTCTGCACCCCTGAACCTCTGGAACTACCCGATATTATTGACATCAGCTGAACGTTGACGTCACACTGTTGAAAAGACGGACGGCCTCGATTCTGCCGTCGTCTCTAGGTTCTATTTCAAACAGAACTCCTGAGCGGACATACCGACTTCCGGGCCTGAATTGGACTCTTGCATAAAGTACTCAAATTGATACGGAACTATTCCGTGATTATCCCAGCAATAGAGATGCTCGACGTTTTGGGATCTTTTTGTTACTGACAGCTGTAACGTCAGATACGGGGAAACCGGCTACCCCCGGAAACCGGCCACCCTGCACTAATAGATAATAAAATTAAAATATTTAATAGCTTATCCTATATAGCCTTATTTAAGATCTATAAGTAACTATTATATAGTTTTTATATAAAAATATTTATATAAAATATTATTTTATTATATTTTAATAATCTTTATTATATAATATAAGTATATATAAAACTTAAAAGTTAAGAATTAAAGAATATTTAAATATTAATATTAAATTAAATAAAAATATTATAAAAATAATTTAAGTATATTAAAATACTTTTAAACTTATAATTTTATATATTAAAATAAGTAATTTAATATAATTTTTTATAATATTTATAAAAATTCTTTAAAATAATATATAAAATATATAATAAAAATACTATTATTATTTTAAAATTTAATTTATAATTAAAAAAATACTTATTTATATAATTTAACTTTTTTAAGTTAATTTATTAATTAAAATATAATAATAAATTTAAATTATTTATTTTTTATAATTTTATTTAATACTTATAATTATAAAAAGATAATATTAATAAAAAAACCTTAATATTATAAATATATAAATAAGGCTTAGTAATATTAAGTATTAAAAATATAATTTAAATAATTTAAATTTTTAATATTAATAATTTTAAAACTAGAGCTTAATAGCTATTTTTCTTATATTTTTTATAAATATTTATAATTAGTTAGGATTTTCCTAATAAATACTAGTAATTCCTTAACAGACTTAATTATTAAATTTTAAATAATTATATCTTTTTAATAATACTTAATATAATTATATAGTATTTTTTTAATTATATAATAGCTATTTAAATATATAAATAAAATAAGAAAAAAATTATATTATTAATCTAGAGGCTTTTATAGCTATTTAAAAGTTTAGTGTTTTAGTGAGGAAGGGTGGCCGGTTTCCGGGGGTGGCCGGTTTCCCCGTATCCGACGTTAGTACATGAATTTTAGGGCATTCGTCGTCCTTACAGTTTGACATCAGACACGGCACAAGATCCGCCCTTCACTCTCATCAGCCATACAGAATCTATATATTTTAGAAGGATTTCTCCCAATCCTTCCAATTGTATGCACCATGCGATGAGATCTTCCATTGTGCAGAACAGGCCGCTTATCACATACCAAATATGACACCTTCAAACACATTTTATTTCGATCTTCCGGTTCCCTTGCATGCTGACCGACACGGCCCAAGACCCATTTGAATACATATCCAGATCACTGTCAAATCACAAAGCCATGTCACCCACTAGCTTGGCCATTCTTCCGTATCAACTTGATATATTGGCTACACTGGCCAGTTTCCCCAGCTGAACAAACGGAAACTAGCTCAAGAAAACCTCCGCCTCTTCCCTGTAGTGAATTCGATGGCCAGCCCAGCTTCAGCTTCGGCACCAGCACCAGCGCTAAATTACAGTATAAGGTGCTGGAGGTAGCACAGAAAACAGCCAAGAGCTTCCCTCTCGTCAGTCTCACTCTCAGATGCCGTAGGTCACTTTCTTAGTAAGTGACGTTTTTAAGACAACTCATCATCGTCACTCACTCTCTGGATGAACTCATCGCCACCACATTCCGATTGCTCCAAGTGTTGCACAACGCTTTCATCACCTACAGACCTTCCCTTCCCTTTCCCCTTAACTGGTGGCCCTTCTCTTCCCTCATCTTCCTGTCCCCTCACCCTCCGCGTCTCGGGGAGCTTTGTCGCGTGACTTGGCCCAATGCGCCGCCCTTTTCTCTTCCTAAATTACATACTTTGGACATAGTTTAAGCTCGGCCCTTCATCAACACTGAGCGCCGCCCTGCACAAACGGTTATAGCGGTATCAGCAATTGAGCTTCGGCCATGACGGACGACAATACAGCGTCGTCCGCCGCCGGGAGACCCGCTACCGGTACAAGCTCCAGCTTCAATGCCCCGCCTCCCGGCCATGGACTCCGCCGTGCCATGACCGTCTCGGTCGCTGAGGATGCTGCTTCTCGTCGTCAACATATGTCACCGCCTGGTTTCGAGACGATACCGCCACGTCGCAGCTCAAACTTTTCAGAGTATAGTCTCAGCGAAGCTCGAGATCTTCTTAATCCCCAGCTTCGAGATCCCAGTAGCGCTGAGTCTTCTTCTCCGGGAGAAACATCTTCTCTAGCATCGTTGTCATTGGCTTTTGCTCTTCTTCCAGCTATATCTGGTGTTCTATTCCAGAACGGGAACGCTGTGGTAACGGATGTTATGTTATTGGGCCTGGCCGGTGTTTTCCTTCACTGGTCTGTGACACAGCCATGGTAAGCTCCTAGCCTTTGCGTTTCTCTATCACAACTTTCGAAAATATGTACTTATTCTGGACAGGGCATGGTACCATTCAGCGCAGGAGGTACGGATACAGCACGAGTCAACAACCGATAGTGTCATCGACGATGATAGCGACCTCGATTCGAGCACCCAAATGCCAGCGCCTCACTCGCCGCTTGATCACGTACCGGAATATGAAGAAGTTCAACCTGAACCGACTGAAGAATTACACGAGAGAAAACCATCAAACCAGCAGCAGGAAGCTCTCGCGGAACTATACCATTATGAAATCATCGCCCTAGCCTCGTGTTTCATTCTTCCACTCCTCGGCGCCTACCTCTTACACGCCATCCGATCACAGCTCAGTCGCCCCTCCGAGGGTCTCGTTTCCAACTACAACTTGACAATATTCCTTCTCGTAGCCGAGCTTCGGGTTCTATCCCACATGATAAAGCTGGTCCAGTCGCGGACGCTTCACCTACAACGGGTAGTACAAGGAGGACCATCCAGATTCCAGAAAACTAGTGATAATTTAGGACAGTTGGAATCCGTACTTGCGCGGCTAGAACGACTAGAGTCACGTCTTGCTGCCGAAGAAACCATTTCTGTCCAAGAAACAAAGCAGGAAATTAGCAAGGCAAAGCAGAAGGACAGCGTTGTGGCACGCGAGGTGCGTAACGCAATTCAACCGGAACTGGACGCGCTCAACAGGGCTGTTCGTCGTTACGAGAAGAAGGCCACACTTCTCCAATTTCAGACAGAGTCGCGCTTCTCAGGGGTTGATGCAAGACTGGATGATGCTATCGCCCTTGCGGCGAGTGCTGCGAAGAATAGTGCATCACATAAGAACGTGTTTCTGTGGACGGTGGAATCACTCACCGCCGTTATCCTTCTCCCGTTCAAGACCCTGTTAAGAGTCATGCTGTTACCTCTGAGCACACTGTTAGCGCTTACGAATAAGAGCAAGAAGAAGAGTCCTCCGTCAT